CAGTGAGTTGTGTGGGCGCTCAGTCGCCATAGCCAGTTTGAAGAGAACTCTTATGTGGATACGATATCTTGAGTATTGTGTGGGCGCCTGTCGCCAATTTGCTGTTTCGCTGTTTGCATACATGACAAGTTGAATAATCAGAAGTGTGATTTCACCATCACCCGGCTTCGGCTATGTATATGAGGATGATTAATAGAGAATTAGCATAGGCTCCACCGCCTCCTCAGCCTGCCGACCGCCTGAAACTCTGCATTTTCGAACCAAGACACCTTTCCTTACGCACGTGTACCTGTGCTGGTGTGTCTTGTAATATTATGATAATGAAATCAAGTGAAGATTCTATGTTACATTTTCAATTGTTCCAAGGTTCGTTTTCCCTTCCACTGTGTCGTTCTATGCACATAGTATTCCGCACCCTCGTGACGTATAAGGGTTGCTGACGTTGTAACATGTGTTCTTGGCAGGTATCATACTTTTTCTACAAGAACCTGGCATTTGGCCTTACTGTTTTCTATTTCAACTCAAACGCGCTGTTTAGTGGGCAGTCCATCTTCGAAGAATGGGCAATGGCGCTCTATAACGTGATTTTCACATCGATACCTGTTATGGTAGTCGGAATCTTCGAGCAGGATGTCGCGGCTGACACGTGCTTGAAGTTCCCAGCCCTTTACAGGCAGGGTCCGGGCAACGCCTTCTTTAGCTGGGGTCGGATCTTCCTGTGGATGGCCCTTGGTGTGTATAACTCAATCGTCCTCTTCTTCCTTGTTGCAATTGCATTCTCGTTCGGTGCATTCCGGTCAGATGGGAAGGTGGCTGACATGTGGGCTGTCGGCACTAGCATGTATACTTGCATTATCTGGACAGTAACTGTACAGCTTGCGCTGTCCATTTCTTACTTCACGTGGGTCCATCATGTTGCGCTCTGGGGTAGCATTGCCTGCTGGTATGTATACCTCGCCGTAAGAGGAATGATGAACCTTGACTCCAATATGCTGAAAGGTGTTTTGTCGGAGGAACTTGCGCCAAGCCCGACATTCTGGCTGTTGACTATAGTGATCCCAATGGTGGGTGTATTCCCATCGTTTCTTTATACAGCCTTTGTGCGACAGTTCCGGCCATCAGATCATCACATAATTGGGGAGATTGTAAACCTTGAGCTGCAGAAGAAAGACCCGGCCATGTGGAAACGAGAACAACGTAAGGCTCACCACCGCCCCAAGTTTGGATTCACAGCAGCAGTTGATGCTGCGGTTCGACGGATGCGAGCCAAGGGACATCGAGGCTCTCCAACGCCAGTCTAATGTGAGATTGTGCGACCCTCTGTTTATGTATTTGCCAGATGCATTATCAAGCGCACAGCATTTTGCTGATATGATCTGGGCTCTATTTCGGTCTGGCACTTGCTTCATCGCGTCTTTGTATTTGGCAGTCCTGAACATCGCCATGTGCAGCATCACCATTTTTATTGTCTTCACAGCTTCTTTCCGCATGCCTGGTCTTGTATTGTTGCAGCTCATGCCAGTCCCTCACAGCAGGTGATTGTGGCAGTGCTTTCTGGCAGCTTTGACATGTTTCCGAGTGCTCACACTTCGCCTCACTGAGTGTTGTAGTTTGTCATGACAAGCTTCCCCCTTCTTTGCAACCGTTGCTCATCGGTATTCATTTTCTTTTCTTTTATTTTTTTAAGCTGTCTTCTCCCCATCGGGGGACAGCTGTATATATCTTTTTCTCTCAAATTTTCCTCATATATAGACACCTTCTCAGCATGGGACGCTAAGGGTTATGGGTTGGATTCCTGGCCGGGACGGGATGACTTATGCGCACCCCTCGGTTTCCATGTAAGTGGAAGTCTGTCCCCATTATTGGATTTCAAACTCGTTCTGATCCACGACGGACTGTTCAACGGTGGAGGGTTGCGACTTCATCTTGCTCCTTTGTGCCAGTGCATCGCTGGTCATTTTCTCACAGGTAGGAATCCTCCTTAGGCTGGCAGCTGTGTATACGGAACGTGTTGTCTGTTTCCATTTATTGAACCGGTGGGAACATTGAAGGCTTGCCATTTCACATTTACCACCTGTGAGGTGCTGTCTTATCCATGTGTAGTCGACCTGGTGCTTCACCACATGTGTACAGGTGCCTGCCGCAGTTTTGTGGACGAGGCACGTGTGCCTTAACTTTTCGTGAAGCTCAGAGTCTGCCTGCAAAAGGAGAGGCTCTCTACTGAGAGCACAGTAGCTATGGCAAGACGCCGTTGGCAAGTGGGTGTGTGCTGGGTTTGCAGCTTATTGCTGATTGCATCCTGGTTCGCTCTTTCTGCAGTTGAGCTGCACGCGGCATTGCATTGGGTTGAACATCGGGTTAGCTGGTGCTTCATCTCATTTCCCCTTTAGGAAAGGGGTGGAATGAGAATGTCTTCATCTCACTGGCAGATTATTATTTGGTTGATCATATACGTAAATATTTGAGGTCTATCTGTCAGCCTCTGTCGAAATCAGAAGTTTTGAAAGGCCAACTATCAGTAATCGGCGACCATTGAGAGCGTGCACTATACGTTTTGTATGAAATTGAATGATTTGAATCACTATAATTCATGTGTTCCGTAAGCGCTTGTCCCATGAAATTTATGTGGGATCACAGCAAGGGTGTCTGCACTTCTGTCCACTACAGATGATGGACCCTTCCAATTGCTGATGGACTCCGTCCTATTGTTATACGTCACTTCAGGAAGTGAAAAATGCAGGCCAGGCAAACACCATTCCGGATTTCTTTGCAGTACAGGCGTTGATCCCGGCAGTTTGAAAAATTGCTATTTCTGGTTGTCCTTTTCCTCCATTGGGAATGGGGCAATGTGACTTCACTCAGGAGATCTGCGATGGGGAATCTGAGAACGGCCGGGAACCGACAATATTTGGAGGTTAACCAAAAGCTATGTAGTTAGTTTATTCAATTTTATTGGTGTTGCTGTGACTGCCATGCTCCATTGCTTTTGCTTTCGGTGGCATTCGTCATGGATCAGCTCTGTGCTGCTTCTATCTGTGGCTTTATTTTGGTTGAACAAGACTGGCCGTGGTGGCCACCTGTGGACCAAAGAGGCTGACTGACTGGTCAGGCACATGGATGGAATAAGTATGTACATGGGGATTGGATCCTCAACGGGAGCAATGCAGGCGTTTGATGTTTTACGGTCGTACTACTCCAGAGAAATTCCAGGTTGGGGACGTGGTATCATCCGGGAGCAGTAATCAGCATGCTGCATGACCTTCTGAGAAGATTTTGTATTGTGTGAATGTGCTGATTCTCAAGCGCATGGGGACAGGCAGCTTCATGGTAGTGTTGCAAGGGTGAAGACGGTGGATCAGCAACGAGAGCACGAGTTTGACAACGTCCACCGTGCCAGGGATTTCCTGAATGCTTTGTGGCAATGGCTAGAAGAAGCAAATTTATGGGCAGCGTAGCTGCTTGAAATGTCCATGTAGCAGTGCGGCTTCGACTAGTTAATTGTTAGAGTGTCCAGAGGCTGATGTTTTCTTTTCACAAACTGATTACAGCCTTTGGATGGGTTGGGTGGAGGATGCGAGCGCGCATCCTCGATCGCCATGGCTAGCTTGCCAGGTTTTTTCGAATGGGTAGGTCCTCAAACCTGAGAGAGCCAATCCTGGTTTTTTACCATTCTGCTGAAAGGAGTCGGCCGAATTTGTTCCTCAGCTGATTAGTCTTGACCAGCTGATTGTGGAATGTGTGGACAAGTGGGATTTTCTTTTGCGTGGTGGTGAATGCCTGTTAGAGAGGGTTGGGAAGGGTGTTGGCACGTGTCCCAGAGCTCCAGGACATCAGCAGCAGCTATTGCACAATTGTGTTGGGGGATGCGGCCATTGTGGCCAGTTTAGAGGACTAAAAGTCTGAATGCTTCTGCAAATATCTTGGTGGTTTGAGTCTGTCAGCCGGTTCTGGCAGTGATGAGAGAGAAGGTACTTGCTTTATATGGTTCTGTATGGGAGAGAGATTCTACAGTGGAAGTAACTAAACCGCTGCCCGGGTCTTGGCAGTCACTGGTCATGGAAAAATGCTTCATTAATTGCTATTCATGGATGGAACCTGACATCGAAAGAGGGGTTTCTGCTGAGGGGTACAGCGATGTCAGAAGCCAGTGGGTATCCGGCATTTGCTGGCACTGATCGGATAATCTTCTCTGCTTTGGATGCAACTGAGTTCCAGCATCTGTGGACACTATTTCATTGATCTGATTCCCTCCTGGCCACCACCATAGAACGGTCAGAAGTGCAGCAGGAGTGCAAGAAAAATAAGTCATGCGAAGTACAGAAACCAAATTGCATCATCTCAGTGAAAGCCAGAAAGTCATGTGCTCGGACAGAAAGCAGAATGCACCAAGTTTTTTATACACCAAATAAGAGCAAACTCAGCAAAGCAATGAACTCAAATGGCAATGTCAGCCCATATCTTGCCTCTACCATCAATATATGCAAAGTCATTCTCTTCTGACTGGCGCTCGGCACCCAGACAATGATCGTACAGCACCTAGACTAGCCTATCAACCTATGACGTCAACAGGTCTTCACGAAGTACAGCTGCCAGATGACGAATGAAGAGTTTGGCTTGACCGACCATGCCCACCATCACAAGGTATGTGCCGTGTCCTTCCACCTTCACACCTTGCCCATCCACTTCTCTTCAACACAGCGCCCAATGCCCACAATCTCCGTTCAATCCCCTTTGGCCGTACAGGCAGCGCCCTGGCTATGGCCGCCTGCCTGGCCTTGGCTGCACCCAGCAGCCTGTTGCGCGCCCTGCCAGGACGCCCCTCACCCTGGCTCTCATCCAGTGCACGCGCGCTTGAGCGAGCAATACATCAGCGCTCAGGCCAGCCAGCTAGTGGCAAGAATGACAGTGACTTCACCTCACTCTCTTTTGGGCAGACCGTGGTTGGGCAAGGGAGCTTCCGGACTGCTCAGCCTCTGTCCCAGTATCTTTGCCCAGGGCCCTTCCAGAGTGTGCCTGGGGCTTAACTGGAAGTGCCTTGGGCCTTAGCATCTTTCTGGGCCCCAGCATCTACAACCGATCAGGTCTACGGGCCAGTTGCAGATGCTGCAAGCAGCAACCAACCCACGGGCACAACAAACCCATTCAGGCCTCAATTTTGGATGCCACATCCATTTTCAGGTCCCATCTTCACTTAGGGGGGGGCGGGTGCAGACTGTTACAACCGGGCTCAACACATTTCCCAGCGGGGGCAGGCTCCAATTTTCACCATGTTGAGGGCCTTATGCCTTGCACTCCCTCCCCCTCAGCTTTGAAAGTCCTTTGAGATAGCTTCAATCCACTTGCTGCTTTCCCTGTAAAGCTCTCTCGTAGTTTGTGATGTCTTGAGGTGCTGTCTTCATCTCCTCCTCTCTAATGAACCATCTATTCTCTTAGGATCAACATGGGGCGGGCCTGAATCCGACCCAGAACCTCATTTGCAGTTTCTGCTGTCTTCCTCTGCCAACAGGCTTACAAACAGGCATGAGCTTGAGTTCTTGGATTTATTGTGTGGGCTCAAGATGGGTCCCTCTCATGGCAACATGAGAGTTCAATCACTTCGCTATATGCTGGAAACGCCTTAGAGCCCCACGATCTCATCATGTCCACGTGGTCATCCATAGTTGGGACCTTCTTGATGGAAGTTGGTACGTCTGAGCCAAAGGAAGAAGTTTAGAGCCATGGAAGACGCGGTAAGTGCGTAGATGCGGGGGTACTCGGATCACATACGAAGGACTATTAGGGTCTGATGCCACAATGTCAAGGACTTCCCATGGCCCGAAGTACTGTGGCGTTAGCTTGCGCGAAATGTCAATTTCTGCAGTAAATTCCAACTACTTAATCCACACCCTTTCTCCCACTTGAAACTTTGACTCTTTCCTATGTTTATTCTCAGATGATGCAGTCATTGCACTCTGAGATTTCTGGATTTGTTCAGTAGCCCGTTGCAGCATCGTTTCATATTCTATACTAAATTTGATGCTACCTGGTGCAGCAGTAGGTCTGTTATCAGGCAGAAGGAAGTCTAACAGTGTCCTTGGCGTCCATCCAAGGTGCAACTGATCCGGTGTCCGTGCAGTCACGTGCATTATTGTACAGGCAGGTGATGAGGGGCAGTTTCTCATCCCAGTCATCCCAGTCATCTTGGCTTAATGTAGTGCCTAAGCAAATGCTGGACAACCCTGTTCATCTGTTCAGCCTCCTCGTTAGCTTCAGGATGTATGTTGAGACATGTCAAGTCTGTCAGAGGGACAAACCTAGCACACAAGCACACCTCTAGGACTTCTCAAACCTCTGCCCACTCCTACTCGACCGTGAGAAAGTTTGTGCATGGATTTCATGGAGACTCTCATGACCAGCAAGTCTGGGAAGAGGTGCACCTTTGTCATCGTGGAGATGTTTTCTAAGTATGCTAGGTTAGCTGCATTACAGAAGACTGCCAAGACAGACCTTGTGACCAGAATGTTCATCAAGCAGTGCTTCCATTGGGTCAGGGCTTTGTAGAGAGCACAGAGCTCCCTCTCATGGGTTAGTCTGGTTAACTTCGGAGACAGCATCCTTTTGCTCCTCTCATGGGTTGGTCTGGTTAACTTCTGAGACAGCATCCTTTTGTTCATGTATTCAAGAGGTCTCAACTTTTTCCCTTCCCACTGTTGCAAAACTGTTTATATCCCATACTGGCTAGCGTCCATTATAAGCAGATACATCTCCAGCTTGTGTTTCGAGAACAGGTAAAGCAGTCAGACTACCTGCACCAGCTTGGTCTGACATTTTGGCAGCTCTTTCTAATAAACGAGAATGTAGATAAAACACATCTCCTGGGAAAGCTTCTCGACCTGGTGGTCGACGTAACTATAATATCCGATTTCCAAACTGGGAAATTCCGCTAACGCGCCTCGATCGACACCAGAGAAAGAGGTAGGCTAGCCAAGCTATATATACGTTGGATAGGAAGAGGATTCTCTAATAAGCCCCACTTAATTGGAGACTTAGGATTTATGTAATACTTCCAGTGAATGGCTTGTCAGGTTCCGAGATCTTAAACCACAAGTACACCCGGGCCTGCAGGCCCCTTGCTGCGCGCCAAGGTTCTCTGAACTGGCAGCCGCACGACTTCGCGATGTGTCAAAGCATGCTTTAGTCTCCTGAAAGTACACTCGCAGTCTGCTGTCCAGTCCCATGGGGGGTCAAGGTGGGTTAGACCAGTCAAGGGGCTTGCTATCATGCTATAGTTCTTGATAAAAGGACGATAATAACCGTTCATCCCCAAGAATATTCTTACCTCAGTCACAGTTCGAGGTTGTGGCCAGTCTTTAATGCGGGCCACCTTCGCATCTTCCAGTCTTAGCCCATCCTCGGATATCTCATGACCCAAGTACACGATCCTGATGGGACTGAATTTGCATTTCTCCAGGTTGATCTTGTTCTTGTGCTTCCGGAGTAACCATAGCACTATATTCAAGTGCTCTACGTACTCCTCCAGAGTCCTACTAAAGACAAGGATATCCTTGAGGTACAGGACGGTAGCTTATCTAAGTAGTCGTTGAAGATTCGGTTCATCGCATGTGGAATGTAGCGGGCGCATTACAGAGTCGCAAAGGCATCACCCCAAACTCTTACAGACCGTACCTAGTCCGAGAGGTGGTTTTGTGTTGATCCTCTGGCCCAATCTGTATTTGATGGTACCTAGACTTCAGATCTATTTTGCTGAAGTATCTACATCCCTGTACCTTATCCAAAAGGTCGTTCAACTCATCCGAAGCCCGCTGTGCTTGTTGGCGGTCATGCCACCTAGCCTCGACCAGGTCCGTTAACTGATCTAGGTTGTAACCGGCTGCCCATGCAGCCATGTCCCTTCCGTGTCCCCGTTGCTTGGACCACACCATCTAACCATCTAGCTGCTGACCCTTTTGGAAAGGACGCAGCGACTATCACCTCCTTGTCTACAGGGACTGTTGTCAGCCACGTATCCAGGTTCTCTTCGTTCTTGTCCCCTGAAAACGACTATCACCTCCTTGTCTACAGTAGTGTCCTTAGCCCTGACACACACCGGGACTGTCCTCAGCCACGTATCCAGGTTCTCATCTTTCTTGTCCCCTGAAAGTTTCCTGATGTACGGGGTCTGGCTTCCACCTGCTGGACTGGCAGGAGAAGAAGCCTGTGCCTCCACTGTAGCTACAGGCACTACGAACGGAGAAGGTTGCGGTTGTGTCTGTGTCTGGCCAGCAACAGTACTGCCAGGTATAGGCATACCAAACTGAGGAGAGAAGCCTGTGCGGTGCAGGTACAACACAGGGTGTGCAGTCCCTGCTGGCCGAGATACTGGTTAAGTGACTGTGGAAGGAACAGTCCTTCCCTGTGGTCCAACCGCAGCGAGAATCTGGTTCTGAACTGCAATCATGGAGTCAAACTTGGACTCCAACGGATACATGGCCTCATGGAGGCACAACAGATTCCGCCTCACCAAGTGCTCATGGACAGACAAGGTACTCTCATCCACCCGCTCCGAATCTCCCTTGTTTGTCTTTTCTCTTTCTCTCTATTCTCAGCATCTAAAAGCCGGGCTTGCAACTCCGACCGAATGGCTTCAGCCTCTTGGAGCTCTAATGCCTCAACAGTGAGTGGAACAGGCTGGTTTGACGGCGAATTAGCCATCGGACTAACAGAGGTACCAGCTGTACTGCTAGGGACTTGACTACCATAGTTCCACTTTGGGTACTCTGACTGGATGCCTGTGTGGCCATGCCCTCTGACACCGGCTCTGCTATACCACCAGTGCTGTGCAGCACGTCCCTCTGCCTCCTATCATCGGTCCTCCATCGTCTCCTTTCTTCCGGTGCTAATGACTGGAAGACTAGTGGAAGACAACAGGCGACACTCCTGGTTCTTCTGCTACGTTGCTAATTCCTCTACCTCACTGTCTATTTCACTCATGACTCATGAGCTATAAACAGATAGCACTCTGCATGAGAACATGGTCCTATCGCACCTCAGTTTCTGACCAGCGTAGCAAAATAAAATAAAAATAAAAGACCGGCCGGACATCTTTCAGACACTGTCTGACAATAAGTGCAAATCAGATGCAAAAACTCAGAAATTTTTCTAGCACTTTAATTAGTTCTAGAGTCTGGACTGACCGAACAGCGAACAGAAAACAATGACATGCGTCCTGTTACTACCTGGAATCAGACACAGTCTGTCAGACTAACTAATCAAAGTGTAGAAAAATAATATGTTTCAGAATGATGCATGCATGACGCGAATTGACAGTAAAAACTAAACGACCTTTCAACTGGAATCTACTTCTTTCTAAACCTCCCTTGGTTGTTATTTACATCAGCATTGTCCGAAAAAAACTAAGCAGCAGTGACTTACAATGAACACCGCCCACCCCTGTGCCCAAATAGACAA